TTTTCAAAATAGTGAAAACACATTCTCTTTCCTATTTACGAAAATACGTTTTTGAAAACAAGTTAAAAATTTACAAAGAAAACTCAAAATGGCAAATTTGATGTTTTTAGTTATAATCAAGTTAAAATTTTCAAAATGCGTTTTAGGTGTATTCCAAATAATTTTTCAAATTTTCAAAAAGAACAAATTTTCAACTATCTCATAATGGACACTCAAAAGCACAAAATTCAAAATAAATTCAAAATTCAAAACACAAAACTCAAGTACAAAGAGAACAACCCTCTTATATTCTACAAGACGTGTCCACTCAATGAGTCAACTTGGTAAGGTTCGCCAACTAATGTTTTGTGCAATATACAAATTAGATAAAGCTATACCTACGAGTTTGGGCAACTTATATGCCAGCCTTGGGGTAGCATACTCAATGTCTCTGTTGTCTTTTTATATACTAGTCAAAAGCACGTGCAATGCACGTGTCATGATGTAGTTGAGTACGTAATAGNATCAATAAATTAAATGTGATGATGTTTGGCTTCAACTGATTGCTCTTCATGATAGAAAGCACAGACTCCATTTCCCTTATCATCCCATTTTTCCCATAGGCATCCATCACACCATTAAATGTGAAGATATCTGGGGCCATAATGCTCTCATTCAGATCTTTAAACAAAACATTAACCTGATCAACATTTTTTGCCTGAGCAAAAGCTCGCAAAAGAATGTTATATGTCACAACACTGGGTTTACAACGCTCCATTCCCTTCATCTTGTCGAAGTACCCCAGAGCCTTGGCCAACGCCTTGGATTTATCCCGGGAGTGAAGGTGGGCAGTGATCAGTGCATTGTAGACTGACGTATCAGGCCTACAACCACTATTACGCATCTCAGAAAAAAGCCACATGGCCATCCGAGTTTGGCCCTTTTTTCCCATAACTGATATCAACTTAGAATATACCCCATTATCCGCTATGTACCACCGTTGTTTTTGCATCCATCTGAACACCTGAATGTTAGAGATATTAGTGAAGAAGGCCTTTATCCCAACAGCAAGTTCCACTACATTTGCATTTATATTAGAATTGTATCTATGTGATTAAGGCAGCAGTAATAATAGATTTCTTAATTAATCTTCATGACGTTTAACAAAAGTTTGCATCTTTTATCAAGCATACTCGCATATGACAAACCACCACATTCCCATAGGCACTCACATTGACAAGCATATTTTGATATATAATACACGCTCGAGCACATGAATAAAATTCATCCCCTAAAAGAACAGATGCCACAATAAGAAATAATTGTGAACAAATTAAAATGTGCCATTGAAAAGACTTAGGTGAAAAAATGCATAATATCATCTGTTACGGGCCTGTGTCAGAC